CTGACCTGACAAACAGCTAAATACTCAGTTGAAAAACATACACAGGTACTATTACCTGCTATAGGATTTGTATTTCTGTCCAGCCAGTCATGATATTTACCAAGCTTTGCCACAAAGCACAGCTAGGTTGGTTACCTGAGCTTTCTCTACTGCAGGCTAGCAACACAGCTATGTGTCCTGTGATTGGACAGCAAAGCAGCAGGAGACTGATGGGCTATTTACTCTGCTCTCTTCTCCTGTCAGTGCTTTCCCAGTCTAAACTCTACTGTAGAGGAGATTGCAAGATGCTGGTACCAAGTCAATCTTAGGTAGGTATCCTTGTAATTATTAAGCCGTACATAGTTATACATAACTGCATGGGTGATTTTTTTTTTTATATCTGCGTTAAGTTCAGCTTTAATGATCTAGTTGTTCAGCTGCCAAATCAGATCTGAGCGGAATCTGTCCTTTATCTGAAATCACAGCGCTGATAATGATAATGAATGCTGGGACTGTTCACCTCAGGGATTACCTGAGATTAGTGTCATTCAGTGCCTGCTGGCTGTCAGTACTCACAGAAGATTATATATCCACACGGCACAGTGCTCAGCAGACACCAGCCTTGGACTGGGCAAGGAGACCGGGGGAGGAGGGATTGTTATACTAGGAATCAAAGTTTAGAAGCTTTTTACCTTTTCCGTCATCTGCAGACATATATTTAGTATATTTAATAGGAGAGATATTAAAGTGATATTAAAGTCAAAACGTTTTTGAGCTTTTCAAATGCTAATGAAACCAGTTACAATGGATGCTGCGCCTTGATGCTGAAAAGTTTTAGTTTTAGTGTCCTGCAGAATCAGCTGGTCCCCTGATATCCTGTTTTAGTGCATCTCCTTTCCCTTGCAGGGTCCTATGGAGCCACCCTTGTGTGTGCCAGTAAGCTGTGTGTGTCTACAAACACATGGACATAACAAGGCAAACCACCAATAAATTCTCACACAGTGGATCACGTTTCAGAGCTTGGTTGAGCAGTGGTTTGCAGGTGGTCAGGAGGCAATAATGCCGCCTCCTGAATTCCTTTTTTTCCCCCCATTTCATCCCAAGGGGAATTTTGCATTGCAATACCGTGCTGCAACCATGTGCCATGAGGTTGGCATGTGGTTGCTGTGCAGTCTCAATGACCATGGAAAATTTGATACAGTATGTTGCATTTGGCAGGCGCCACTTGCCAAAAGCGAAGTACTGTATAAAATTTGCTGTGGCCACGAAGCAAAGCATTGTGGGTGCGGAATGCGTACCGACCCGAGTGGCCATCCAGGTCATGGTATATCTGTAAACATTAAATCAGGGCAACAGGACTTGCTGTATTTTTCTGGAAGATGTTTCGCTGGTCATCCAACTAGCTTTCTCAATTCAGAAATGAAAAAGCCAGAAATAAAATCCAATTGCCTTGATTTTATTTTTTACAGGTAGCCCCTTTACTGCACGTGTAAAGGAGGCTTAATGGAGAAAAACAAGCAGTCAATGTAATATACAACTAATCAGATTGCAATTGACTGAAATCAATACAAAGAGAGAGGTATTCTGAGTGGTGCTACAAGTTAACGTACTTTGCACATTTAGAATGTAAAAGAAAGTTTAAAGAACTCGATCCTAATACATTAATGGAAACTGTAAAAAATGAGCAGCTAGAAGAATGCACGGCCAACTTTTCTTACCGTAAAACAGAGGATATGACTTATGATCACACAAGAAATAATAAGTAGTTTTCCAAACAGTGGGCTGTCAATATATTTAGCACATTGTCGATTTCCTCTGAACCGGGAGGGTAATTTCTCTAGCATCCCTCGCATAAATATAAGAAGATTTGCAATGACTGAACAATTTCCTAAATAATATATTCAGCAGGTGGCTTACTCATATGTGTGCAGTTCAAAAAGCCTGCTTGATAACGTCCAAAGAGCTAACCAAAGACTATGTGCTTGGAAAGTAGACATCACTGACTAATAGCAGGACACAGGACAAGTCCACCCATATACATATTATTACATAAGCTAGCCTAGGAAGCAGCATGGTAGAATATACATTGACGGTCAACTGACTAGGTGATATGGGAAGAACAATGGGAAGCAGAACTTTAGTTAAAATTGTTATTAACCCTTGCAGTGGGGCTACCCCCACCCCGCCTTCTTTTTGGGACTGACCAGCCATTAGGATGAGCGCCCCCTAGCGGTAAAGGTTTGAGTTCCTCCGGACAATACATATGAGCTCAGCAGTGTTGACAGGAGACAAGGTGGAAAGTGCTTTTTATTAAAAGGAAGATGGAAATACTGGTATTGCCACTGCTGACTTGTTGTCATCAAGCAGTGTTGGAAGATATGGATAAGGTCTCTAGAGCAGCCTTTCTCAACAAGGGTGCTCTGGCACCTTGAGGTGCCTTCAGCCTCCCTTAGTGGTGCCTTGAAATGTTTGCACAAAACCCCAGGATCAGAATATTTTAGATATCTACAACTTAGGCACTGGGCTATATCAATGCTTTCAGAAACCCCAGTTATAACGGAATTAACGATCTTTGAAAATATCTGTCTGAAATGCCCTATGGCCCCTAAAATCATATTGACACTATACTCCCAGCTAAACAGGCTATTAAAGCCCGGTGATCATGAATATATACAGAAATGGGAAAAAGAACTGGGAGCTGTTAAACAACTTAAAGAATGGCAACAAATGCGGAAATCATCAGCAACGTGTTCCATTAATATAAACTCTCTGGAAACTGCATTTAAAACCCTAACTAGATGGTACTTAGTTCCTTCCAGGTCGGCTTATTCGAACCCGACACACTCAGATCTTTGTTTTCGAGGATGTGATTCTAGGGGAGATGCGGTCCATATCTGGTGGACATGCTCGAAACTGGATAGGTTTTGGTTAAAAGAATTTCAGATGATTAACAATCTTTTTTTGACTAATATAGCAAGAGACCCATGGGTAGCCCTATTACATCAAAAATCTCCATCCCTGACTAACTCACAACATAAACTGGGCACTTATGTCATGTTGGCGGCTAAACAGACCATTGCACAGGCATGGAGAAAACCATATGTGTTTTTTTGGGGGAAGTTAAAAAGAGGATGGTCTCATTTTTTCTTAATGAAAAACTGACTAGCATCCTACTGGACTCCAATAAAAAGTTTATGAAGACTTGGGAACCCTGGATTAAATGCGACCATCCAACAATCTCAGTAGAAAGTTTGACGCTCTTGTAGAAGCGATTTTGGTGTCTTGCCCCCCGTTTGTTTGTTAGTTAGTTTCCAGGTTTTTTGTTAGTCTTGTCTGGTTTTATAGTTATATTGTATTGTTGTTAAGAGGCGGTTGGAGGGGAGGGTCAGCAGGGTGATACGGATATGTTTATCCCTGCAGACTATTGATGTTGAAGTATGTCTTGTATATGAATGTTTATAAAATGAATAAAACTTTAGAAATTGAGATTTTTGCATAGTGTCATGCCTTTCCATGGTGCAGGCAGGCTCTCGATGTTAAGGGGGAACACCGATGTGAAAAGCGGAATCTGATGTGAAAAGAAATGGTGTTGTGAAGGGGGTGCAACTTCTGATGTGAAGAGGGCTCCTGGAGTGAAGGGATGGGCTTCTGATGTGAAGAGTAGAGACAAAGACACTGGCACTCCAAATTCATAAGCAAACGTCTGTTTATTGACGTGCAGTGTAGCAAACAGCAACTAACGTTTCAGGGTCACAGAGGATCCCCTTCCTCAGGCAAAAGCATACGATATGCTTTTGCCTGAGGAAGAGGATCCTCTGTGACCCCGAAAGGTATGCTTTTGCCTGAGGAAGGGGATCCTCTGTGACCCCGAAACGTTTGTTGCTGTTTGCTACACTGCACGTCAATAAACAGACGTTTGCTTATGAATTTGGAGTGCCGGTGTCTTTGTCTCCACTTGTGATCATAACGGATGCCACCCGTTGACTACCGCAGCACCCGCTTTTCGAAGGGATTTGGCGGTCAGGAGTGCGATGGGACTATGGACTTTCTGATGTGAAGAGGGCTCCTGATGTGAAGTGATGGGTTTCTGATGAGAAGCAGGCTCCTGATGTGAAGGGATGGGCTTCTGATGTAAAGCGGGTTTCTGATGAGAAGCAGGCTCCTGATGTGAAGGGATGGGCTTCTGATGTAAAGCGGGTTTCTGATGAGAAGCAGGCTCCTGATGTGAAGGGATGGGCTTCTGATGTAAAGCGGGTTTCTGATGAGAAGCAGGCTCCTGATGTGAAGGGATGGGCTTCTGATGTGAAGAGGGCTCCTAATGTGCAGAGGGGCTCCTGAAGGAGGAATTGTGATGTGAATGGTGGGACTCTCTGATATGAAAGGGGGGGCTCTGAAGTAAATAAGGCACTCTGACGTGGAAAGGGGGGGGGGTTCTGATGTGAATTTTGGTGACTTTGATGTACAAAAAGAGACGGCTCTGATCTGAAGGATAGCTCCTAGTGTGTGAAGCCAAATTTTATTTATTTACTTTTGGGCTCCGGATTTGAGTGGAGAGGGATTAGATCCCCAGTCAGGTTTTTATTGTTGTCTGTGTCCTTGTTAGGGAGATTTGGCCACTTTATTTGTCCTGGCGGCCGTTATCAGTGAAAGAAAATCCCAGGTTTCCGGTTGTCACTAGAACAGGAATGAATGGGAAAACTTCCAATGGGGACACTAGTTCTGGTGACACTGCTGACCAACAGGTCCTTGGAGGGATTTCCTCTCACTTCCTCTTGCGGCTATCGGACAGGAAGCGAAGGGAAATTTCCCAAATGGGACACATATATCAAACTAAGCTGACAGGAGTTGTAACCCTCCCTTACTCTATCCAAAGCTAAAAAAAAGTTTGGCTACTTTAGGTTTGCTTTAATTTCATGCGCGTCTACCTGCCATACAGGGGTTCTCCAATATCAGAGTTAGTGCTGATGATCTCACCAAACAAGATGTGTGTTCGCAATTACCACATCTGCTTTGATATTCACCTGTAAAAGTATTTTATTGCCATCGTGATCTTCAGTTTGCCATCTGCCTTCACTGATTGGGCTGCACTGGTTGGGCAAGAGAGGAATTAATTGTCCAAAGTCCTTAACTCTGAACTCCAGCAACGAAGACTCTAAAGGCACCGGAGTTTGTCCCTTGAGAAGTCTTTTTAAGGAAAATTCAATATCAATGTCCATATTGGAGTAGATGGGAAATACACAAAAGTCTGCTTTCTTCTTCCACACAGACTTTTTCAGGATCAGCTCATATATTTTCATCATGTCTGTAAAGTTCTCATAGCTGCAGTAGATAGTGAAGCGGATAATTTCTTTCCCATAATGCACCTGTCTGATGGCCCATAGCGGGGTGCCATATGCAAGAGTGAAAAAGTCTTGATTGCATGGCATGTAAGGAAGAAACCGCCCATGGACCCGCTCCGTGTGATGGAACTGCCAGGGCGGTTTTTTGAAGCAATCGTGAAGATGTAAGATTTGCTCTTCTCCGTATTCCTCTTGCAGAAATAAAATCACAGCGAGCGCAGGCTGGCATGAGAAGCCCTTATTCAGCTTCCTCTTCTTGGAGATCCTTCTCTCTGCAACACGGAACAACTGCAAATCAGGGTGGATCCACGCCAAGAGTTTATCAATGGCACCTTGGAGACATTTTGCTTCCCCGGGGTCTGCTATAATATGGATACTGACAAGGAAAGGGTCTTGCAGATCATCAACTGACAGCTCACCTATTGAGATAAACACAAAATATCAGGGACTTGTCTTCCAGATTGTCTTAACACATTTTAACATTGAGATCTTGTCCTGAAAGAAGAACTCCTGATAAAAAATGTACCCATGCAGTGGGGCTACCTCATACTGCAAGGGTTAAGTGCTCGTTTTCTCTTGGGCGCTCACATAAAGCAGTTTTACTCACCTAATCTTCGGTTCGGCGCTAACCTCTCTCCCCCTCTACTCCAACTATGTAATGTCCCTCTGCGTCCTCACGTCTAATGCAGGTCAAAGGATCTGCATAAAACGTGATTACGTCAGCGGTCCTTAGATTGCTGGAGCCAAGGGGAGAAGAGGCTTACAATTCAGGTAAATGGGGGGACATCGGGAGGGGTGTGGGAGGGAGGTGGGGTGTTACGATGTGACCATGTTTCATTATACACCCTGAATATGGGTGTACCATTAAACTTGATCAGAAAGGTAATTGTTGCCTTTAACAACTTTATGGCTCTAGATCTAAGCTGTGGTCCCGTAGTTATGGATCGCAGAAACTTCCGATCATATGATCACCTGAACGGACACTGAAAAAAATCTTTCTGGAAATAAAAGTCCCCGTGCATCGCAACACACTCCCTTCTGTTAAATACATTTAACCTGCTCAACAAACATTTGTGAACTTCATTCTTGGAACCATGTGGATTCAACAACTGTTTTCTGGACACATTTTGTCTTATTATAAACCAGAAGAAAGCATATTCCACATAAAAAAATATCAAGGTCACCTACAGACCAAAAGACGTCAAGTGCAGGGACAGACCTAGACTCCCAGGGGTTGAAAGAGATCATATTTGTTAATGGGAGAAGTACAATACAATGTTCAACCTATTACAAAACAATTTTCCAATTACTCTACCAATGCAAGTTCAATTCTTAATGAAATAGAATCCATTTTAATGTTTAGTTTAGCTACACCCCTTCCTATGGAGCCTTTTAAAAATTATATTTTGCAGCCAAATTGGGATAACAGCTATTTTATATTTGTCAAATGTTCCTATTCACACAGCACTAAAATATATTTAAAAAAATGTTGCAGTTTTTCCATTCTCTGTAACTTCAAGGAGGGGGCTGGAGAGATAATGTCTACTATAATTAACCCTGTCTGTACTGTGCTGGCAGATCTCATTATCAGTTTTAAACTAGATTGGAACACCGTCTGTCCAAAACAAAGGGTTAAAGATTGAAAAGTTTATTTTATTGAGGGGAAATTGACAGTTTGAAAATGTTCAGACTAGGTTGCAGTCTGTCCAAAGGCCTGCTCCAAAGAAGCATCTAAAAAGTAAGAAATATTCTTTATCGAAATAATCTTTGGATATGCTGTGTGAAATACAGAACAAACACATGGAGGGCTTTTTGCAAATTTGACTGCAAAAGTGTAAATACAATTTTAAAGTAGTATTACACTCTCAAACTTTGTGCTATAATGAATTCAAATCAAACCAATATACTTTTCCCAGTAAAGTATTTCTTTAGATATTTACCCGAGCACTTACAGTCATCATGTTTCCAAATAGGAAGGAACAGGAAGCGAGTTGAATGACGATGGGCAACATTCACCCTGCAAGAGGAGCTGTATCACAGTAACAGTGAATCTTTGGTGAACAGGGCCTGAGATCAGGTAAAAAGAGCAGTCAAGGCTACTTTTTGTTTTTACCTGCTGCCAGAGTATCCACCTTTTCATTAAATGCCCAAACAGCAATTAGGCTTTAACCTGACCATACTCTACATATAATAAGAAGACATAAAAGATCATTTCAGACAAGATTTGGAAACAATCAGCCCACATATGGGAAATGCATGATCCTCTCTCCTGTTATCTTATAGGAGAGTGTTTGGAAAAAAGACAGATTGGAAAAAGAAGTTGCGCATTGGCCATATCTCTTTGTCTACGTGGTTATTGCGTGCTTTTTCTTTGTTCTCACAATACTGAACATCAGCAGAGGTTGAGGATCTCTTTCTCAGTCCACCCATGTTCTTATCTTTCCATGTATGTATGGACCGCTTCAGATAAAGGGACAGCAATCTGTGTAACCACAGAGTGACATCAGGAGAGGATTGAGATGTAATCAGCATAGACAAGCCTCATAATGGGAGCTCTGCAAGGTATTTCCACCCTGTCATCTCACTTTCTTGTGTCTCAGAGTGATCTGCCGCGGGCTGTATAATAGTGTGAAGTAGGATAAAAAAACGAGTGCTTTGTGAAATGTGTGAGCGACATTAGTATTCTGCGAGAACATCTGATTGTGTCATCGGGCTACATGGTAAAACAAATAGCTTCAGAAGACCACCGCGGGACTGTACAAAGCCATTATTAGAAGCAAGAGTTACATAGACAGCACAGAAAATCTGGTTTTGTTGAGCTCTGGCAAAGCTGAGCTTGGAGCCAAGAATAAAGAGGAGCATAGCTAATCAGCTCGTTAAGTAGAATACTGTACACTTCACAACATCACAGCCACTCCTCTAGTGTTGTATTTTCCTATCTGCAATTAACTTCTCTAAGCTTTGTTCTCTCGGTGTGCAAGTCGTGATAAGGGGCCACAACCGACTATTCATGTCTTTGCTTTCTGGAAATTTACAAATTAGTTGAAGTTCCCAAAGCTTTGAACCTGATTCACATCATGGTTCCTCCTGCTTGATTACAATTCAACTTTGCCTTGCACATTTCCTTGCTACACATAAACTTTGCCTCTGACTTCTAATTACAGTTACACAAATTAGAGCTCATTTGACAAGATGGGCCAAGAGGTTCAGTTTATAAAGGCACCCATTAGGGATGTACCGAAATTTAGGCCACTGAAACACATTGGCCAAAAATGGCACTTTTGGCAAAATGCCGAAAGTGCCATCCTTTGACCGAAATTGTGGTGCATCCATACTTTCTCTCCTCCCTGCTGGGTGCTGCTCTATCTACCATCTGATACAGCGCAGCGTACAGGGAGAAGAGAAACTGTCAGGAGCCGAGCTCAGCCTCCTGCGACAGATCAGGAGAGCGGTTTGTGGGTGGAGACAGCTGTCACTGGGGACCGTGCCGGCGGTGAGGGGGAGGAGTCAGCTGTCAAGAGACCGAGCTCTCCTCCCTGCATCGCCAGTTCAACTGTGGCAGCGACTCAGGATGGTGAACGGTATATAAAACATTCAGCGATGTAAATAACTGGACATGGTATTACTATAGAGTTACTATGTACCAGTTATGTATGAATGGGAAGTGATCTACATCAATCCCTATGCATTCATGATTGTGTACATAATAACTCATATTATATCCAAACTGTATGAATGAACAGGAACACTCGGTATAGAGGATTCCTGTTCATTCATAACAGGGGCTGCAGAAAAAGAGATTGAGGACTCTGTCATAAACATCACAAACACATTATTAAGCATATGAAGTCCCCAGCACTCCCATCTGGAGGCTTTGCATCCCTTGATCTGGTTTTGGTGTAAAGTCATCTGACACTATGGCTTTGGACACCCACCTATTATTCTAACGTCTACTACTGTAAGTGGTGCAGCTTCATATATAACCTGAATTTTCTGGGACATTCTGTCCACAAACTGAATACCACTACCAAGGTAACATATATAACAATAAGATTAAGCCCTGGTTCACACCTAGGAGTTTTTGAGCAGTTCGAAAGGCGCTTTTAACTGCCCAACACAAGAAATCCCAAGATTTTCAATGGCCCTGGTTCACACCTGAGCAGAAAAACGCCTAGCAGGAAAACGCCAGACGCCTGAAAAGATACAGGAGCTTCTTTGGGCAGTTAAAAGCGCTTTTCCTCCCCATAGACTTCATTGGAAATGCCCAGAAATGCGCAACAGAAGCATGTTGCACATTTTCGTGAGCGGTTTAGCGCGTTTATAGGCGCATCCTTACATTGCCCACAATGGTTTATGAGCTGCCAATCAAAATGCGCATCTTCATGTACGCGCTGTAACAGGGTGCCAGTAACACCTGCCAGGTTGGCAGGAAAAGTGATAGATGGTAGATACATTCCTCCACGGATCCTTAGATTAATCATCTAAGGTAATGCCAGCATAGATTTGGAGGTAAAGAAAAATTGCTCTTTATCCTGTATTGGTAAAACAAATCCTGGGGCTGGTGTTACTAGGAGTCTGATAGAGCTCTGGGAGGGACAGACTCCTAATTCCATGCACCGTAGTTTAGTGAAGACTGCACAGGTCTTCATTAGTGTGCAGCTGGACCTAGCTGGGGGAAGTGTGTGTCTCAGTGCAAGGAGAGACAGTGTGCTGAATGCAGCAAGTTCTGTGTTTGGAGCCAAGCCTGTCAGCAGGTCTGGGTTCTGTGGATGGACACACGACGTCTGTTTTGTGTGCTGACCGGATCCGTACGCTGCTGCACTCAAAATGCATCCCAATGTATCCCTATGTGTTTTATGGGCTACAGTTCTCACGTGCGCAGTCCGTTCAGCTTACGACAGAAAAAATACTGCATGTCACATTTTGTCTGGTCCGGAAACGGCCCGGAAACGCACAAACGCAACGAAAACGGAAACGCAAAAAAAATTGTATTCTTGCTCCACTTATTATGATGTTATCAACGATAGACAGACAGGTTGGGGTAGAGGTAACGACATGAACTGCAAACATTTGGAACATGCCCATTACCTTGCCATGGACATACGAGTAAAGGAAAAAAATGTATCCGGGTGACCTCGCAAATCCTCATACAAACTCCAGAACTGACCCTTGGAGTCCCGGAGCCTCAAGATTGGGTGTACCCAATAACGACGTCTCCTGTGGGCTTGTTCTCTGCAGATTGCTGTAGCCAGCACCATCAACATGCCTGCAAATATGTGATACATGTCTGATCACCATCTTTACATACACAAAAGGGAAGTAGATGTTCCGAGAGGGCGGAAGTGACCTCAGTGGGTGAATCTGCATACTGACAGCATCCAGACCAAACAAACGTGTCAAAAACGCACTGCATCAGCAT